TCAATCACTAAAGTTGCTCCTTTGTATGATTTTATGAATCTATCTTGAAAAACACGCTAATTTCACTAAAGTTGCTCCTTTGTATGTTTAAATTAAAAAGGCAAGGAATATAAATGTGAATCCTTTAATATTTGGAGAATATCCTGACATCATGAAAAATATATTTGGCTAAAGACTTCCTTTATTCACCAGAAGAGAGTCAGGTTTGGTTATGCACTCAATAGACTTTCACAATAAAGTTGTTTAAGCTTTTTATACTTGAAATGGTTGTGTTAAACTTTCACAGTACATTTGTATTAAACCACACATATGAGAGTTATGTCATGCTAATTCATTATTATTTTAGCCATAGATTTATTGAAAGAATTTTAATATGAACTGTATTTTATTCTGTCATTTTACAGTAACTATCTATAGTCTTTAGTACTACAAGACATGTAAAACAAAAGACTATGGAACAATGCTACGAAAGTTGTGAGTCTTCTTATACTGAATTACCAAGATGGTTGGAAGCCATCATCCATGCAAACATTTGTGACAGACACAATCATACAAATGGAGACAATTATGGCCATGAACGGAGGAAATTATGATCTCGATTATAGACTTCAATCATACAACCATAAATATTTTTGACAGACACAACCATACATATGTTTGATTTTTAATAGGCATCAATATCAATAAAAATGCATACAAGCACGTATATTGCGCTCAACGCATTGCATAAAACTTTCTGAGAGTTCAGAATGGTAGAACTATGAAATTATCTTGGTTAAATATATATTTATTAAAATATATATTTTATATCATACTTTAACAATTATTTTTCATTCAACTTATTTAAGTAATATATTAATAAGTTGTCTGCATCACTTTCGTCGAGTCCATTAATTCATTACTAAAAAAAACATGAAATCATCCAATCATAATGTTGGTTCAAACAACATATTTTAGATTTGATAAATTGTTTGTAAGAATGAGCCGTCAAATATAAACAATGATAAGATCTAACCACAAATACTTAGATAATATGACAAAGGACATTAAAAAACAAATTCAAAAAGCTAACAAACACTTAATTCATCAATTTGATCGACATAAGTGATTTTCAATGAAAGAAGTTATCAACATGTTTCAAATTGGTCTCATTTTCATCCCACAAAGGTCAAATGAGGAAGGAGATCCAAATGACAAAGAATACAAATGCTTCATGAAACTATCGAGATTTTCATATTAAGGCAGGTTGAGATCTGAGAACATATGTCATCTGAAATAGGTGTCCCTAAAAGAAAGTTATTAAAAGATTTAAACCCTTTAATACTAGAATAAAAATCCAACAAATATTTTATATTCAAGTACACACTATTCTAATCTTAAATATCTCTCATCTTCGCACAAGAACATCAAATTATTGAATCAATTATTAAAATTCACTATTAGATCTTGGTTCATAGCTTCACCTGTAAACCACATCCCAAATCACAATCCACTAGAGGGGAGATTTACAAGTAAGTTTATGGTCTATGAATTCACAATTATGCAAGATGTAAGATATTAGCTTTCATATACACAGGACATATTGTGCCATAAAGAGAACTACAATTGTCCAAATATTGTATATATAACTAGTAGAAGACTCGTGCGTTCGCACGGGTATGAGGAAAAGAATGAGATATAGTATTAAACATGTTTGATAGTTGAATTATATTCAAATGCACATTAAGAGCAGTATTTATGTATGTTTTTTTTATTCGAATCTAACTAATTGTATCTCGTGTAATTTTATGAAGTATTTGAATAAGATTTTAAACGTTATAGTGAAAAGATTGAAATACATAATAATCATAATTTTAGACTTTTTATTTTTTAGAGCAATATTTATGCATGATTTCTTATTTGAATCTAATTGGTTTTGTCTCGTATCACAACATATTAATATATTCAACCATAACACCATGGATTTTAGAGTGTGCCTTTAGTGTACAATGCAAATTATCAATAACATTAGCATGGACTACACAAATTATATATGTAGGATATATATATACTTGAGTGTAAATTGTTCACCGGGATACTCTCTATTCCACCACTTTTTCAGTGTATGTTTTGTTCAAGTGTATGTTTTGTCAGTTGGACTGCACGAATCATAAATTAGGGTGTTTTGGTACTGGTATACTACGCGTATTTTTCCCAAAACATAACAAAAATAATATTAAAAATTTTTAATGGTTCATTCAAAAAAGTTATTATTTTTAAAAGACATAATAAATTAATATTTTTGACATTATTTACAAAAACATTAGAACCAATAGTAAATTTATTGTCATTATTATTCAATATTTTGATCAATAACTTCATTTTCATGGTATAATTATTTTAGTGTTTTAAATAAATCAATCAATAGTGTATTATTTCCTATATAAAAAAATTTGAATCAACAATGCATTTTTGTCTATAAGTAAATACACAAATTATATTACATAAAATTTTATCTAAATTAATATTATTCAATATTTGAAACAATAAATGCTTGATAAATTAATATTATTCGACATTTGGAACAATTAAAGTTATTCCTGTTTATAATAATATATATATATATATATATATATATATATATATATATATATATATATATATATATATATATATATATATATATATATATATATATATATATATATATATATATATATATATATATATATATATAAACAACAATGTATTTTTTTCGTATAAAATTATTTGAATAAAATATATATTTTTGTCCTTAAATAAATACACAAATTATATTATATTAAATTTTATGTAAATTCAATATAAATATGTTAATTTTTTTAGCATTGATATTAATTTAACCTAAAAAAAATAGATGAGGGGTTAATATCGATTTATTATTATTTAAACAAATTATTTTTATCACTTTTATATTAAAGACAAACATTTAATACATTAATTTTAATATATTGCACCAGTGGAATCAAATGGGTTAATTCTATATTAAAATATAAATTGCTGTTTAAGACAAATTCTACAAAGAATTGTTCTATCATTTCTATTTTCTTTTCTTTAATTCACTCACTATAAATATCAGGTTTCTATCACATTCCTTCATGATAGTAAAACTCAACAAAACAGGAACATTTGAAATTATAAAGCTACATTGAAGAAGCGCAGATACTGAGTATATACTCTAGGAATCTCGAGTTGCTTTATCGAGACCTACCAAAAGACATTTTCTTCAGGCATCAAAAGCAGCAATAAGCCAGCAAAAAATTCGTTGCCTGCAATTTGAATTATCCCAACATGTTAAGTCAGCGGATTATAGAGGTTATGAACATATATGACATAATGGTAAGGGACACAGTTTCCATTTCTACCTCTTAAAGAAAGTTTGTCACTCCTTTTCTTTCAGGGCACCAGAAACCGCAATCCTTAAAGAACTGGAGTGCTTGATTACAGGGGTCATGGTATACTATCTTTCCTTCTGCCATCAATATAAGATCATCAAATAACTCAAAGGTTTCTGGTGCTGGTTGGAGGAGTGAAAGCACTGTTGTTGCATCATTGATGTGCACCAATTGCTGGAGACATGTAACTATTTGAAAAGTAGTAGAGTTGTCTAAGCCATTTGATATTTCGTCCATAAAAAGTGCTTTTATGGGATCTACAATCATCTCTCCTGCAATATGATTTGGAAAAAAAATGAGTATATAGATTGAGAAAATATCTGAAGAATATTTAGTATGTTTGCAGTCCAACCACAAGTATCATTAGCCTTAATTTTCACTGCTCTAGTAAAGAGGCAACACTTCTCATGTATATTCAGTCAAGAGAAGTAACTTGTAAGTACTTCAAGTACTTGCAAGTTCCAAGGAGATTATTGGGTCTTGAATTTTCCTCTCAGCAACTCTTAAAATGTGGAATGGAACTAACTAAATCTTACAAAATTTACTTTTAAGGTGATGGTTGCTCACACATTATCATGTCACGTGTCATGCATTATAGGACTCTTAACATACACTCTAACACCCAAAACCGAGCATTTGGAACTTGACCTAAAAGGGCGATAGCAGGAAGTCCAACAGATCTTATATCAGCTCTAATACCGTCTTCATATTTGAGTTGGGCTAACTCGGCTCTATAAATACGACTTGTAAGTTGATAGATGTCTCTCACTTACAAATGCTTCATGAAACTATCGAGATTGTCATATTAAGGCAGATTGAGATCTGAGAACATATGTCATCTGAAATAGATCTGAGAACATATGTCATCTGAAATAAGTGTCCCTAAAAGAAAGTTATTAAAAGATTTAAACCCTGTAATACTAGAATAAAAATCCAACAAATATTTTATATTCAAATACACACTATTCTAATCTTAAATATCTCTCATCTTCGCACAAGAACATCAAATTATTAAATCAATTATTAAAATTCACTATTAGATCTTGGTTCATAACTTCACCTATAAACCACATCCCAAATCACAATTCACTATAGGAGAGATTTTCCAAATCACAATTCACTATAGGGGAGATTTACAAGTAAGTTTATGGTCTATGAATTCACAAAATTATGCAAGATGTAAGATATTAGCCTTCATATACACAAGACATATTGTGCCATAAAGAGAACTACAATTTACCAAATATTGTATATATAATTATATAATTCTTTCCAAGACCAAAAGTTTATAGTAGTTGTAAAAAGTAGGGGTAAATAAGAAATGAATGCAATGCATAAAAGTCGGTAGCACTAGATTTATCCTCCCAAAGAAAGCAGGTAGCATTAGCATTAGAAACGCAGCTTGTCCACTCCAGGTTGTGCGCGGTCCGCAATAATTCTCTCTCTCTCCATCATTTAATTCACAGCGAAGCAAAAACACTCACACACACCGCCTCACCCAAAAACTCTCAAGTTTCTCTTCCATTTCCCTTCCAAATAACTCATTCACTCACACACTTACTTTCAGTTACAAAAAACTTCATCACAATGTCAAGTTCAGAAGACGAAGGAGGCGAAGAGTATCTATTCAAAGTCGTCATTATAGGCGACTCCGCCGTCGGAAAATCTAACCTACTTTCACGGTACGCTCGTAACGAGTTCAATCTTCACTCCAAAGCTACAATCGGAGTTGAATTTCAAACTCAGAGCTTAGAAATTGATTCTAAAGAAGTTAAGGCTCAGATTTGGGATACTGCCGGTCAAGAACGGTTCCGCGCTGTTACTTCCGCCTACTACAGAGGCGCCGTCGGTGCTCTCGTTGTATATGACATTAGCCGGAGAACTACCTTTGATAGCGTCGGTAGATGGCTCGATGAACTCAAGAGTCAGTATCTTATCTTCTTACATTACTTCAATTTCTAGATCTGATCTCGTAGTTCACTCACTGTTATTTCATGATTTTCGTTTTGGATCTGTAGTTTTTGCTTTAATTTTTTTTCATTATATTGCTTAATTTGTCTGTTAATTTCTTGTATTATGTGCAATTTGCTATTTCATTACCGTTAGTTGCATTGTAATACCTGTGTATTGTTAGATTATAGTACTTTTTTGTTTTTGTTTAAATCTTGCATTAATTATGATCTTCACTAGTTAGGCTATGTTATTTTGATTATGCTATGTGAAATTGATAGTTCTAATTATATCTTTTAATTGCGCATGAATCTGTTAATCTCACACTGTAAAGGAAGGAAAGAAATTAAATGGAATGAGATAATGATTGATGATTAAACTGTAGTACTATGTATGTATTGGAAGAAAACTTAGAAAACTGTGTTACGTCTTATATATTTGATTACGCAGTTTGAAATTGAGGTCACAATCATGGTAGTTAAAGTTCTGATTTGAATTGTAAAATATCATGATTTTGCGATTATGCTCGCCTTTGGCAATTGAGAGTATATGCATAATCCTATTTTGGTGGAATTGGGTAGAATCCATCCGATTAGTTGTTGAATCATATAATCTTACGGTCTTTGAAACATCTATGCGATTATGCTTATGAATGAATTTAAATTTATATAAGGATTTGAAGTGTGATTTAAGATTATAATTATCTTACTTGTGAGCTATGCTTATGAGTGAATTTAAATTTATATAAGGATTTGAAGTGTGATTTAAGATTATAATTATCTTACTTGTGAGCTATGCTTATGAGTTTAAATTTGCACAAGTATTTCAAGTGATTTAAGGTTTTCTTTGTCTTACGAATGCTATTTCATTTGAATTTATATGCATAAGTTTTAGAACTTTTATAATCGTACGATTAGTGTAACGGTTTCATGAATTATGATTTGACTTCTCCTTCATGATTTGCATAAAATCTCGATTTTAACTACCTTGGTCACAATTACTGTGACGCCACAAACTTTGATACTGCGGCAAAAAATAAGCAAATATGGGTGATGTGGTTGTAATTTATGTTGTCATGATGTTGTGTAGACTTATATATAAAAACTATATATATGGTGCGTGATGGCATGATGTTGCGAAGACTTGGTAAAACTATACTTATGTGTAATTGTTGTTGCCATGATGTTGTGAAGACATATAAAAACTATATTTATCTTGCCGTTGTAATTGTTGTTGTCATGATGTTGTGACCTTAATAGTGGCTGCAGATGGTAATTTAAAACTGTTTGATTATATAATTAATGTTTGTTTATAGGTAGAATGTTGAAGTATTGTTTTCCTGTGTTTGATAACTGTGATGCAGCTCATTGCGATACAACGGTGGCAATGATGCTGGTGGGAAACAAATGCGATTTGGATAATATAAGGGATGTAAGCATTGAAGAAGGTAAAAGCCTTGCAGAATCAGAAGGTTTGTTTTTCATGGAAACCTCTGCTTTGGATTCTACAAATGTGAAAACAGCTTTTGAGATGGTTATTAGAGAAATATACAACAATGTTAGCAGGAAGGTTCTCAGCTCAGACTCTTACAAAGCCGAATTATCCGTCGACAGGGTTAGTCTTGTTAACGATGGCAACCCTACATCCAAGAAAAACAGTAGCTATTTTTCATGCTGTTCCTGAATTTTTGTTTTGTTGGTTTGATTTAATTAAAATTTAATTGGGTTGCCTTATATTTTCATTGAGTATCATTTGAATAGTTTTTGGATTACAAGTTACAACTACAAAAGACACATCTATATATATAGCAAGAAAAGTTTTATATATATATCTTCAAAATATTAAGTAAAGGGTTTTAATTGTATAATTTTGGCGTACAGAGAAATTGTAAGTGTAATTCAGCTAATGAAGTGAACATCCATTTATATATCATGTTTAGTGATTTCTTAAATTGTTACAAGTTTTGTCATTTGGCTATTGTTTGCAATGTTACCTTGAAGGTTTGGTAGATATTTGTATATAGTGAGATATTTGTTTTTTTTTGCTTGTTCACGAGTTTATTTTGATATTGACGGATACTCGTTTCTAGATAGACTCCTCAACTACACCTATAAAAAAGGGTCTTTTGTGAACTTGTGGCTGGCAGATAGACGAATGCTTTGTGTGAAAAGAATAAAAATAAATAGCGGAAACCATGTAGGAGTACCATTTTTTAATGGCTAAGTTTGTAGCTTATAGTTTTTTTGGCTTTAATTTACATTTAATAATATATTAGTCTCTGTTTTAAAAGTCAATTTTTTGTTCCTTTATAGGATGTGACTATGATGTGGGAGAGGTGATTTGGATCCATGTCATATTTGTGATTCTATATCAGCATTTTAACTGAATATATTTTGTTTTTAAAATATCAAACAATTAATGAAATTAAGTAAGAGCTGAAAATTGATAAGCATCTTCCTTCTATCATCATCTACACGTTCACACACCATCAAAAACTAACATCTTAAACCCAAATTCATCATATTCTTCAACAAATTCAAATTCAAGAAGAAAAAATTAAAATATTTAAACAAACAAAAAAACAGTAAATACAAATCTTAATCTCCTATTCTTCAACAAATTCAGAAAAACCTCTAAATTTTCATCTTTTTCTATTACAAATTCATAAATTTAAAATTTTTCATCAAAATTTAAAATTAAAAAAAAAATTATATTTATCTTCTTCTAACCCTAAACCTGGAAAAAAAAAAGGAGGAGTTTCTTAATGCACCCTATGCATACACAATTCATGATGAGTAAAAAATACATGGTTTTGAGAATGCATCTCCGGACGTACTTCATGCACACATAACTTATTATTTTTTAGCCATTTTAATTTTATGATTTAAATTATTTTAAGAAAATATTTTTGAAATTCACAATAATGCTTATATCCATCACGGTTCTTTGAACAAATTCCATCAACACCGTATATGATTTAAGTGTTGTTGTGAGTTTCGAAAATGTATTTTTGGAAATATTCTAAAAATATATTTTCGAAATAATTAAATCATAAAATTGGTGGGTGTAACTCAAAAACAAATGAGTTGTGTGTGTATGAGATGCGCTCAAATATACATCTCTAAAGTCTAAGAAACATTTTTTGTTTTTCATTCCACCCCATAAGAGTAGAATAAGAAATTCTCAAAAAAGACCGTATTTCCTTTTTAATTTTTGTGGTCCCCTCGTATGTTGTTGCATGAATGAGTAATGGACATATAGACTTAAATCATCATAAGATGTTATTGTATTTGATCGACATTTTTACACAGCTGCTGACAAATTTTCAAGGAGGGATAAAGTTTTTGGTTTTTTTGGTTATAATTGATGAGAAAAATAAATGTGAGTCGAAAGTATTAAGAACAATTGTAGGGAAGTGTTACATTAATCATAAAAGTGGAGATTGAACATTTTAAAAGTGAGAGAATTCACACGTCTATCATTTTAAAATTTTGAATAAATATATGATGTGTTTCATACAAAAATGTTTGTTCATAAAAAAGAATTTCAATGAAAAATGTTCTATAATGTTCATCCCTATTACACATGTTACATGTTGCTGCAATTGAAAGTGTGAATGGTTGTTGTTTGTATATTTTATGAAGTAGGAAATATATATATATATATATATATATATATATATATATATATATATATATATATATATATATATATATATATATATATATATATATATATATATATATATATATATATATATATATATATATATATATATATATATATATATATATATATATATATATATATATATATATATATATATATATATATATATATATATATATGACGTTTGGGGTGAATTATCGATTAGGTGGTTCATTAGTATATAACTTTTATATATGGTTTGATTTATTTAAAAGATAATCAATAATTTAGATTAGTCAATAAAAATATAAGGAGCTCCTGTATCTTTCATCACATAATCCTGCCTTCCACCCTTACTCTATTTTTGGATCTCCTGACTTTGTAGCGGAAAAGTCAGGGTGACTTTGGATCGATTTTATCGGTTGGATAAATTGAGTGTATCAAACCACACCACATGCCATTTTCTTTATAAAGAAAAACTTAAATAGTAAAACATGAATTCAGAAAAAAAGAGTGTCCCGCACCTTCTTCTACATTCCTTCGTCGTTGTGTCGACATTTTCCCACCAATGTCAATCTATACTCTATGAACCCGATGGTTTTTGTTTTTGTTTTTAATTGAGTTTTCTGTTTAAATTGAAAACCACAATATTAGTAAATAATGGAGAAATTGAATATGGAGAAGGAGAGGCAGTGAGAGAGAATTGTAATTAAAGAGACATAGTGGTTAAGGGTGAGAATTATCATTAACATTGACAACAATACCTCCAAGGTATTTATATGTTTACAAGTGGAATGAGATACAAGCAATAAAGCCAAAATAATATAAAACCAACAACTTCGTACCTGTAACCGGTTATACTAAACTTATAATCGGTTAAAATTGTTACAAAATTAAATTCAATACAGTGGTAACCGGTTACGCCACGATGAACTTTCTATTTTTAGCTCAAAAGTGAATTTTGCCCAGCTATAAGTGGTTACACCCCGTGGTAACCGGTTACAACACTTGAATTATCAATTTTCACTTAACACGCCACCTAAATTCAAGCGTTCTAAGTCTTCTATATCCATGTTCATCTTTAATCTCTTAAATACTTTAATTGTGACTTCCTTAGTCAACAAAGCAGCAACTTGTTATTCGCTTCAACAATATCGCAATCTCAACCTTCCTTCACTAACAAGTTCTCTCAAGTAGTGAAACCTCATCTCAATGAGCTTGCTCTTTTCATGCGAAATTGTGTTCTAGCAAGATTAATTATGGAAAAGTTATCAACCAGAAGTTAACAACATCACCTACATTGCTTCCTATCTCCTTCAATAGATTTGTTAGCCATACAACTTGGCGCACACATAACAAAGCGACAATGTATTCAGCCTCACAAGACGTGAGTGAAACTGCCAGTTTCGTCTTCGAACAACATGAGATTGGTGTTTTGCCAAATATAAAGATGTATTCAATTGTAGACTTTCGTTATATTTATCTCCGCACCAATTGAAATCCGTAAAATCGAGTAAATCGCACTTACAAACTCATCATTTTTATCCTTTCTCAATTTTACTTCAATATCTAATGGTGTGACAGCTGCACTACAATTGCTAATATTGAACCTTTTCAAGATGTCCTGAGCATACTTCTTTTGGTGCAAGAACACTCATTCACTTGTGTCTTTAAACTCCATCCCTAAGAAATATGACAAGTTCCCTAGGTTGGACATTTCAAATTCCTGCATCAGTTCAGACTTGACTACTTTTATTTTGCCTCATCTGCACCTGTGATAAGCAAGTCATCCACATATAAGAATATAATGACTCAAGTGAGCCTGACTGCATTATTGACATACACTTCATGCTCTGAGACACACTTTGTGAAACTTGCCTTGATCAGGAAGCCATCTATTCTTTTATTCCAAGCCCTTAGAGCTTGCTTTAAGCCATATAGAACTTTCATCAATATGTACACCTACTTTTGCCCATTGATTATGAATCCTGGTGGTTGACTGACATAAACCTCTTATTTCAATGGTTCATTCAGAAATGTTGACTTTATATCTAATTGATGTATCTTCCATTCATTGTATGTTGCATTTGACACAACAATCCTGATTGTGTCCAGCCTTGCAACAGGTGCATAAGCAACGTTGAAGTCAATACCAGGTTTTTGTAGAAAATCTCTTGCCATTAGTCTTGCCTTATGCTTGGCAATTTCACCAACTGGCCTTAGTTTCAACTTGTATACCCACTTCACATAAATTGGATTATTCATTGAATTTTCAACAAGCTCCATAGTCTTTTTCTTCTTGATCGCCCTAAGTTCTTCTTGCACAGCTGCCAACCTATTTGAATCATTCATGGCTTGATCCAAATCAATTGGTTATGATTCAGCCTTGATCGTCACTTCTCATATGAATTCACCATCTACATCGATTTCTTGATCTATAAATCTCTCATTTCCAGCTAGCCTTGTCGACTCAATTCTAGTTCTAGCAGATCTCCTAACATTATTTTTAAGTGGTTCTTCATTTTAAGTGGTTGTGGCTTCTATTTATTAGTCTTCTTCAAGCACAATTGTGATTGTATCATGCTCATATCGAACTAACCCCTGAGTCACATTCCACCATTTTCTTTCGTCCACTAGAACATACATATTAATCACTAGTTTATCATCATTTGGTGAATACAACTTGTATGCACCAGTCAAATGATAACCTATGAGCACCATGGTCTAACTTCAATCATCTAGCTTCTTCCTCAATTGCTCATGTACATGCCTGAAACACGTTGATCCAAATATCACGAGATGACAAACATTTGACTTTAGTCCTGTCTAAGCCTCATAAGGTGTCTTGTCTGCTATCTTCTTGGTTGGAGATCTATAGAGTGTATACTGTTGTCGAAGCTTCTTCACCCCAAAATCTCTTTGACATTTCTTTAGCTTTCAACATGCTTTTATTCATGTTCAATATACTTATATTTCTTCTCTCACCTATACCATTACGCTGAGGTCTATAGGTTGGAATGACCTCATGATTTATACCTTCCTCATTGCATAATCTTGCAAATTCCATAGAGGTGTATTCATCTCCACCATCAGTTCTTAATTTCTTTAACTTACATTTAGTTTGTTTCTCGACATGTAATTTAAACTTCTTGAACTGTATGAATACCTCATTCTTCTTTTCAATAAGATATATCCACATATATCTGGTAAGTTCATCTATGAAGGTTAGGAAATAGTAGTTACCTCCATTCGATCTTACTTCAAAAGGTCCACACAAATCAAAGGGAACAAACTCTAGCTTTTGTTTCGACTTCATAGACAAATCATGTTTGAATACTTTTCTAGCCTGCTTTGCTTTGCATCACTCTTTACACACCTAACTTGGTTATTTCACTTGAGGTAAGCCATACACCACATTCTTCAGGTTGAGCATGTATAGATCTCTGAAGTTTAGATGTCCATACATGTGATTCCATAGCCAATTTTTGTATTTTACAACAGTCGAAACAAGACATTGATGATCAACCATGTCGATATCAGTCTTAAAGGTTTTGTTATTTTCCAATGGTGCTTTCGGGATGATTCTTCCTTCGCCATTATACACCTTCATCTGATTTTCTTCCAACTTAATGTTATACTCTTTTGCAAGTAATCAACCCATGCTTATCAAATTACTTGTATCTAAGGTACATACAATACATTAGTAATACTGACCCTTTGACCATCTCTTCTAACCATAACTATGTTTTCTTTTCCAATTGATGTGACATGCTTGCCATTTGCAAACCTGGTCACTTATCGATTCATCTAACTTTTTGAACCAATTTTTATTACCAGTCATGTGGTTGCTGCATCCTGAATCTAGATACCACATATTAGTTTGCTCATTCTTTGATTAAGTATTGACCATGAGTAGCATATCATCAGATTCAGTGTCCCTAACATATGCATATTTCACTTCTTCATTATTTTTTGCTCTTGATTTCTTATTTCTCTGATAATATCAAGCATAATGACCAAATCCTTGACAGTTGTAACACCACACCTCCTAATATCAACTTTCTTCCTTGAATACTTGTTAATCATGCCTTTCTTGTTTGAATCAAAGTGATTCTTTGAATTCTTACTTGAATTCTCATCATTAGCAAGATTCTTCCTCGGCTTCGCCTTTTTTTCATACTTCTTGGTGAATCTTTCTTGCAATGCCCGTTCCATCACTTACTCCCTTTATGAGTTCCTTTGCTTCAATCTCATCTCGTGAGTCTCTAATGAAGCTTGAAGTTCTTCATACTTCATCTCAGCTAGGTTCTTGGACTCTTCGATAGACACTACAATGTAATCAAAGCTTGCAGTCAAAGATCTCAACACCTTCTCGATCTTATGCATATCATTGATTGATTCACCACACACCTTCATTTGGATGGTGAGTAACATTAATCTTGAGAAGAAATCAACAATTAATTCATCTTCTTTCATATGTGTTATCTCAAACTACTTTCTCAGCATCTGCAACTTCACCCTATTTAGTTTTTCCTCTCCACCATACAAGTTCTTTAACTAGTCCCTCACTTATTTGGACGTCTCTTCTTCAATAATCTTCTCGAACACATTAGGATCCACATGTTGATGGATTAAGAAAAGAGCTTTTCATCTTTCTTCCTTTGTTCCTTGTGTGCGGCCTTCTAAATTCATTTGCATTCACTTCCAACACAGATACTCCATCACTCACGATTTCAACCATTTTGAAATTTGAAGATGACCTTCATTTGCGCAACCCACCTCTCGTAGTTCTCACTTTTGAAAACTAGTAGATTTGCAGGAATTTTTGTTGATGTTGTGTTGTCGTTTGCCGTTACCGTTTAACTGAATCTCAATCGTACTCGTTGATACTAATTTGTTGGAACAATTAGGGTTTTTCAAGTTTAATGAAGAAGAGAGAGAGAGAGAGAGAGAGAGAGAGAGAGAGAGAGAGAGAGAGAGAGAGAGAGAGAGAGAGAGAGAGAGAGAGAGAGAGAGAGAGAGAGAGAGAGAGAGAGAGAGAGAGCGTGTGTGTGTGTGTGTGTGTGCGTGTGCGTGTGAGAGAGAGAGAGAGAGAGAGAGAGAGAGAGAGAGAGAGAGAGAGAGAGAGAGAGAGAGAGAGAGAGAGAGAGAAACTATATTGTGAAAAAGGGGAAATTTTATTATGAAGTTGTTGTGTTTATTTACATCATAACATGTATTTATATAGACAACCATTGCAACAAGTTCACTAAGTGCAGTATTCGTCTATGTTGAATACATGCTTACAACATTCAACATCCACATATTGTATTCGACTATCTCGAATATAGCTAACTCATACTCAACTATCCTCAACTATTTTGTCTATAACTACTTCGATTAAGTCGAATACAACATTGTCGAATACAAATTTTTCTATTAAACAATGAATTACTAGCTTCTAACAAACATGTGATCCCTCATTCATTTTAGAATAGAAAATTCAACCGTCCAGATACATCTACCACCGTCTGATTAGATCCAACAACTATGTGCTTCACCTTATGCAACAGTTTTAACCGTCCTCACTATTTAGAAGGAAAAATGCACTCAACCAAATTCATTCTCACTTTTATATTATTCTTTCACTAGTTTAAATGCTAGAGTATTAACATTACGAGACAGACCCCTCTACGTTGCACTGCAAATCTTTTCCGTCCTACCAAAATCTCATTTTACCATTCATCAACTATCCTAATTTCATAATGAAACAGACTATAAGTGACCTAAATTAACTTATTAAAAAAAACTAAGTCAATAAAATTAAATTGCGAGAAAACAATAAACTATATTTTGATGAGAAAATAGTGTTGTAATCAATTTTTTAAAACATATAAACTATAGATTTATTATAAGTTCAAAATGCGATCTAATTAAGTAGTGGATTACCTTTTTTTTAATAAAGGATCACACCATGAACTAAGAAAGAAGGTGGAACCTAAGTCAACACCTTCAAAAGGGAATTGAGAGAGAGCATATTTGGTCATCCCCAAACAAACCACATCCTTAATCCCACTATAGAAGACTTCACCACAAGATCAATGTTTATCATCACATAGATTGTCCACTTTATCATAAAACTAGAGAAAAATTGTATACACTACTCATCCTTATGATAATGTGAAAATTAAATAACCATTTTTATGCACCATACATAAAAAGTTCTTGTAAACAATGTGCTTAAATTTGTCAAAATAAGCCATAGTTGGATTCAACTCAACAATTTTGATAACAAAATCTTCAAATTCTAAGATGGTGGGGCGTTATTCACACCCACCCATCCCTATCACACTTATCCATTCACATTCATTACCATAAACTTTTTTCTTACTTATAAAATCTCAACAAAAAAAAAATCAATTTTTATTAGTACAACCCTTTAAATAGATCAAACCAATGATAATAAACACATTTTTAATCAATTTGTAACCACAAAATACAAACAAAAAAAAACAAAAAAAAAAAAGACAATTTTAATCCAAATAATCATAAAATAAAGTAAAAACAATCAGATATATTTATTATTCAATAAATTTGAATTCTGAAAGTACTAATAGAAATTGAAAGGGAGTATTATGTAAAAAGCTATTTGGTATTTTCAATTGCAATTATCCAAAAGAAATAATCCATTGAAAATGAAGTAATTATTAGGAGAGAAAGTGGTCATGAAAGAAAGAAAAAGTTCAAAATAAGCTGACCCATGATGACTTTAGAGACAAATTATAGTTGCACTTCCACATGCACCAATTTAAATCTTCTAGAAACTTTTAAAGTACATAAAAAACAAATACAATAACCAAGTATATCTTTTCACCTCCTACTACCTTGATAGCCATGTTTATTATGTGACATAACACATTGAAAATGATAGGGAAAAAAAAACAACCTTCTTATTTTTTTATTTTTATTTCATATAAATAAAACAAAGAGTTTAATTTTGATACTCTATCAGCGTAAGCGTAAATAACTTTCTATTCTAAAAAAATCACAAGTATGATTTTAAAAATCAGACGGTTGTAATTGATTTACGATGTAATTTTTTTTACGCCGACAAAGTATATAAATTAAATCCTAAAATGAAATAATGCTTAGCTAAATCGAGCTAAGTAATATAAAACTAACTATTGAGATATTTAATTTAGCTTAATCTCAAAGCCATTTCTACCATGATGATAATCTTCAATAGTCTTCTCAATCTCAGATTGTGTATTCATGACAAAAGGACCATATTGAGCCACAGGTTCATTCAAAGGTTGTCCACCAATCAGCAAAAACCTCAAAGGCTTTGAAGAGTTCTTGTTCCAAACACTAACTCCATCACCTTGTGTGAAAACAATGACATGATGAGCCAGAATTGGGGATGAATTTGGTGAACCAAAAACACCTTCACCTTCAATTATGTATGCGAAAGAATTCCATGATTCCGGAATGGTTTGATTCATCTGAGTTCCGGGATTCATGGTGAAATCTAGATACATGGTTGGTGTTCTTGTGTAGACCGGCGAGTTTATTCCCATGGATTCTCCCGCTATCACTCGCACTTCAACACCATCTTTTTCGCCTGATGGAATGTCCTCACTTAGAATTTCTTGATAGTTTGGCGCAATCCTAAATAATAAATAAATAAATCAGAAACATATCAAAATAACATTTTCGTTAAGTCAGCTCAGTTGATAACTGTGCATATGAACATTTTCATTACATTTTTTCATTGGCTGATAAATTGATCCAAAGTTGCAATCCATTGTTGTTTTGTTCAGCAGGCATTTCAGAGTGAATAATTCCCCTGCCTGCAGTCATCCACTACACAAAAAAGAAGAAAAATTATATGTATAAGATTATAATTATACAATTTCATTATTTGAATCATATTGTTATGTGTTTTTGTATATGTACCTGAATGTCACCACTTCTTATTGTACCCTTGTGACCAGCATTATCTTCATGAGTAATTCCTCCCTAAAATCAATTAATATAATAAAATAAAATATAATTAGACAATAAACATCGATAAAACGCTTAAACAAACACATCAGAGCGACACCAGAATTATATTTATAAATATAGATAAATATATTTACACATACCTCTAGCACGTAAGTGACAGTCTCAAAGCCTGCAAGTAAGATATGCAAATCAAAATATTATTAAACAAATATAAAAAAAATAAAATTAAAAATACAAAAAATTAAAAAAAAGAAAACCTCTGTGTGGATGATCAGGAAATCCTCCGGGAGGAGACACTAGAAAGTCAAACAAAAAAACAAAACAGATCTTAATTAACGCAACAAAACAAACAAACAAGGCCTTAGTATAAAACAAACACATGAATTTAAAAATAATATTATACCTGAGAAATGATCAAGCAATAGAAAAGGATCCAAGTTCTTCAACTCAGTTCTGAGAATCACACAACATCACATATTAATGAATGCAAAAAAAAAAGACAATAGAAAAATGTATGCAAATATACCTTCCAATGCCTCTTCTGACAATAGCACCTTGACCTTCACGTTGAGATTTAGCCAAAAACCTGTTAAGAACCAATCTAGGGGTGTTGAAAGCAGACATGGATGTGTGAATAGATAGAAACAGATGAATCTTGAAATTGGATTTGGTTTAAACAGAAGAATAAAGAGACATGAATATATATAGTGTTAAAAATGAGGCGGTGAGAACGCGCAAAAAACAAGTTGTTTTTGCGTTTGAGTTGGTTGGGTCTGATATTTGACATTTTTGTGTGGTGAATGGGGCCCACTTTCTCATTCTAATGACATCAATATCTTGTCATCATGATGTTCATTTTTTATTTATGGACTTTCTTTTAAAAATAATTGTTTTTCATGTTAAATCAATATGAATGCATTTATATATGGTGCCATATTTATTAGTTGGGAATCTAGACTTCTACTATTTACATATATAAAGTTTTGCTTTTGGACCAAATTTCTACTATTTGAATTTTTCTAAAATTAGTCCGTTTAAGAAATTTCTATTTAGATCAATTAACCTTTTGAATTTTTATTTTTTTAATTAAGTTGTGTTTTTTAAATAATGAATCCGTTTGTTTTAGGTTTTTCCAAAAATAACTTTTATAGTATTATATATATATATATATATATATATATATATATATATATATATATATATATATATATATATATATATATATATATATATATATATATATATATATATATATATATATATATATATATATATATATATATATATATAAAGTGAAAAAATTATAATTTTTTTAAATTTAAATAAAAAATTAGTTTAAATAGTTATTGATCGTACCTGACCAGAAGGGATCAACGATCTGCCACGCGTCAAAGACTTGAATGTTGCTCACCAAGGTGTTGAAAAGGAGGGGGTGTACCTGAAACACACTCTGATGGCAAAGTAAGTGACGGGCAGAGTGGAAGCAAGTATAGAGAAAAAGTGTAAGAGTTAAGTTACCTGACCCTCTAGTGAAGATGGTATTTATAGTGAGCCCTCGGCGCAGGGCTAACGGTTGTCTAACACTGGGCTGGGCTGCTAGGCCCAAGGATGACAACTGTTAGGGCTGATGTGGCATCGTGAGGACCAGCTCGTGGTCCACGCCCTAGTGTAACTGCTCCGCACTATCCGGGAGGAGGAAGACCAGATCTTCTGGAAGTGGATAGTTACCTTATGACGTGTCCCTGCGTGAGGGGCACGTGGAGAACGAGGGGGAGCGATGAGGATTTCCCCGGACAGGGGTGGCCATCTGGTCGGGTGTGTTGGTCCTGTCCGACGGTGAGGAGGACGGAGGCGACCAGGTCGGGAGCGAGGGTTCTGCCCGACAAATGAGGACTTTCAGTCTGCTCGGAATAGGAGGTGTCTGTGGTTCCCGTTCGACGGCGTGGTCTCACCGGGCCCAAATCCCAATTGGGGTTTAGGCCTATTTGATTGTGGGCTAAGCCTCGGCCCATTCCAGAACAGTAGCCCCTCAAGTCGTATTTCGCGGTCAGGCGAGTTGTGACTTAAGTAGAGAGTGGCGTCGGGGCGCGTTGATTCTGTCGGGCAGGATGTAGGGATGGAGTCGGGCGAGCGGATTCGTCGGTCAGACGTGGGGACTGTTGAACGACCATGTGGTCGGGGAGTATATGAGGAGACGAACGGGAGGTGAAGGGTCGCCACGTGTCGCACCATAGGAGCTAGGGTTTAGGCACTTGAATGCCTAGTGACGCTTCGTTTCCCGATCTAGGGGTATATATTCGTTGGTATGCCTCGCCATTTCGCTCGTCCGTTGTCATACCCTAAATTTGCCCGTCAGCTTTTGTAAATATTTTTGCATTTTTTATTTTGCATTTTTTATTTAATTTCATGCCGTTTAGACACGTGTCCACCCTCCGATTGAGCGTTTTTCAAATCTCGACTTTTTTTACCCAATAGGAGCGCGACACGTGGCCAAAGGGTATTTTTGTAGATTTTAAGTCCTTTTTAATCTCTCATTTTTCTTTCAAAATATTAATTTCCCGTGTATATTTTGTTTTAAGTTTTAATTTAATTAGGTGTAAAATATATTTTTTTTGTTAGAAATTAAATAGGTTTTTATTATTTAGACTTAGAATTAGTTTAATTAAGCTTTTAATAAAAAATAGGATTTTATTATTTTGTTACATAGAAATAGAGTTCTTTTTAGATATTTGTTTACTTTTAGAATATAGATTTTTAATTATTTAATTTTAAAATTGTTTTCTTTTTATTTAGATAATTAATTAATTTTTATTTATTTATTATATTTTTAAAACCGTTCAAAACTTTCTGGTTTGAAAACCCAGAAATTTTTTGGTTTGAAAACCGTTCCACTTTCCCTCTTCCCTGCATTAAATGTGTTGTAATACTTTGACATGACATTTTTTCTTGTGAATTGCATCTAGTAACCTATATTGTCTCCTTGTCTTCTCCCTCTTCCCAAAAACCCTAACTTCTTCATCTATTAAAGACTCAAGCATTCCTCTTCTCCAACATTACTCCTAAACCATTATTCCTCTTCAAAGTTTCTCTTCCAACTCTCCAAAACTCTTCATCAATGGCTTCCTCTCTTTGCAAAACTACCGGTAAGCGATCAAGAGCATCTTCATCCTCTGCTTCAGTTCCGGTAACTGCTGTCTCGCTTGTTCACCCTCCTGCGGTTGAAAACTTTCACAAAAGTCTCAGCAAGAGGGCCATAGTTCCACAACATGCCTTCTACCATGCAACAAGTGAGCGCTTGCATCTCACTCGGCTTCTGGCCCTATTAGACTTTCAAGGGTTCGTAAACTTCCTAGAGTGTAATACAAAGTACAGTGAGATCTGGTCAGAGTGTTCTACACAAATATGAGAGGTAACTTTCAAGACCAACACTTTCACACATCTGTAGGAAATAGACTAGTCAATATCAATTCTGAAGTATGGAATAAATATTTTGATATGACTGTTGATGCTGATGCACCCCCTCTCCATGAGGTCACTGATACTCGTACGGTGTCGGGTTATGAATATAAGAGGGCTCTGAATGGAATGCTCAAACGACCGTATCCAGAGGCAATTGTCAACAGCGATGCTTTTCCGCGATCAGTCACTGCCGGTAAACTCAACACAGGGGAGCGCATTCTTCAATGGATTGTCGCTCGTATTCTACGACCGAAGAAAGGTGGTCTGTCGCGTGTAGAACAAGCTGAGGTACGTCTTATCTACATTCTGCAAAACAGGATAAAAATAAATTGGCCTTACTATATTGCTAGCAGGATGTTTGCTCTGAGAGACTCAAGTAGAGGCACTGCTTTAGCCTATGGGTCATTCATTTTAGAAATTCTTGCTGTTGCGAATGTTGTGTATCCAACATTTTCGTGTGTATCAGTTTCCCCAGATAAAGAATTTAGCACCAAAACCCTTGCAATGATGGGGTATTTTTGGTGTGTTGAACGTCGTTCGTACAGATTTTTCCGACGGGCTAATATCCCTCCGGTTCCTGATAACGATTCTGATGAAGAAGAAAGTGAAGAAGAAAGCGACGAACAAGGTAATGAAGAAAGTGAAGAGGAAAGTGAAGAAGACGATGCAGCAGAAAACACAGATGCAGAGATCCCTGAACCTATCTATGCAACTCAAGATTATCATCAATCTCCAGTCCATGATACGGCTACAAATACCGATTGGGTCCAATACTCATATCGATCAGAAGACCAAGAAGGCGATTCTACAAATCAAGGTTGGGGCGATTGGCAATATATAGGCTGGACTACCTTGGGTAGATTCTATGACCCATATCACGGCTACCCTCAAGACTACCAACCCTCTGAGCACTCATCACCTCCTCCGTCTTCAGATAACTCCGAAGTCATTACTATGATGCAGTCAATGCAGTTAGAACAACAAAACTTCATAAGGCGTCAAGACACTCAAATGGAGCAAATTAGAGCTGACCTTCATGCCCAAAATGAAAGGTTCAATTCTTTCTCTACTCGGATGGACGCCCGTATTGACTCTCTGGTTGAATCTCATGGGCGGCAAGATTGGGAAATCACCAACGCTCTTAGTCATCTCAACATGTCCGTCGAGGCCTTTTTGAACTTCTCGGATCCCTTCCAAAATCCAGATGCTCCATATCGAGGGTGAGGACGAGGACGGGGGCGTGGTTATTAGATTCATAGCTGCATATTTCATATTTGCTTATATGTTTTAGTCTGTGTACTTTTCATTTGTTTTGTATTATCTGTGCCTGAACTTTAATTACATGTGTTCGTCATTATCTATTAATTCCAGTATTTTGTTCATTATCATGCTTGTGTGTGAAGTTTGGTAATCAACTATCACTTATTGTCTGTACTATGTTATTTGATGCGTTCCTCTTCTCTTTTTGATGGTGTCAAAGGGGGAGAAGACAATGTTGCAAGCAAACAACAAAGCCAATAGTTCAGGATAGTAACAACATTTGATGACTGTTGTTCTACAGCCTCATAGTGCAAAAGAAAGGGGGAGCTTGTGTATTCTTGTGTGCGTATGTATATGTTGCATATTTTGGTGTTTTTAAATGTATACAGGTTGTCATCATCAAAAAGGGGGAGATTGTGGAGGCAAGTCGCCACATATCACACAAAGCTGCAAGACATCGGTAAATGCAGGTTTCGATGATGACAAATTCCCAGGATAGACTGGAAAGTATGAGTTCCAGATTCACTGACCAGATGCAACATATCACTCAGTATATTATCCTTTTACTTGTCTTAATTTGTCTTAAAGAAATATACATTGAGTTGACAAACTGCAATCATGACTAAAGGCATGAGAAACTTCAAACTAACAATATTCTGCAGGATTACAGGACATGGGTCGACCAAAGGGTCAACGTATCCATCAAAAACAAGGGAAGGACTGTCAGCGCACAAAGCATGCGTCGACCATTGGGTCAGCGCATGAAAGGATAACTTTCCAGCGGGTTAACGCATGAAAGCTTGGGTCGACCATAGGGCCGGCGCACAAAGGAAAAGAATTCCAACGGGTCAGCGCACGCCGACTGTATGGTCGACGCATACTGATGAAATTTCCAGAAATTCAAA